AATTCATTGTGCAATTTATATAAATGTTTGTAATAAATAAGAGAAAATTATATTTTTATTTATTTAGAAGCTACGGGTTAGTTTCAAAGGAGGACGGGTATATTGTTGGACAAGCCGTCCTCGGTGACGGGTAAAATTTCTGAGTTTTTTCGAGCCCTGCTGCAAAGCCAAAATCAATCTCTGTCACTCATTGTTGTGCCTCACTAATTCTGCAATCAACTTGTAAATAATGTTACGTAAAATTAGAATGTCGTGCGTGTGTGATATGAACTATTTATGGGTCGATACACGTGAGAAAAGTCACGGTGGCTCAGAGGATAGAGCATTCACCTCCCGATGAGGTGATCCAGGTCTGAATACCAGCGATGGCTGGTCGATAGGAACTTCGCACCCGGTTCGCACCGACCACTCTGCTGACGTAAAAAATCCTCGGAGTAGATGAATTATGGGTTAGAATCTCCTTGTCGTCTGGATAACCGTGAGAGGTATTTGTGGTTTTCCTCTTCATATAACGCAAATGCGGATTAGTCCCATCAATAAGTCCTTCACGAAGGCTAGTTTGTCCCAACGCTTGATCGAGCTGCTCTGGATTGGGTTTAGAACTACAAGGATACGGAATTGAACAGTGATAGTCGTAAACTAAGAATTGGGTTGGTTGCTCAACGCCAGTTATAAAATAAATGTACATGGGAAAAGTAAAAGAATTTTTTTTTATTTAACGTCGCCTTTCGTTGGGGAATTGTTTTTGTTAAAAAATATAGTATATAGGGAGGGAAAAGTACTTACTGCTGTTCGTTATAAAGTTCTGCAGAGAAGATATCTGTATCCTCAACTGGCCGAAGAGAATAGCTTCCGAGTCTGGAAAATGAAGAAGATCAAATACCAATTGATGAGAATGTGTATGCGAATTGTAGTGAAATTGTTCTTTATATGGCTTCTCATCGAAAGGCAATCCTAAGAAGAAATTGAAAAAGGTTATGGGCATAAAATAAACATAAGAAAAATTAAAATGATTAATCATTTGTACTACTTACGCCTATAGTTAACCTTGGGAGTGCCTATTAGTAATGTTTTTGGGAAGAAATTATTGCAAATGTTATTATATGTATAAAAAAAAGTATTGAACAAACTCAGTATGTATTAACCCTTTCGCGCCGACTGTCACAAATACGTGCCAGCATAAAACCGTATCAACCAGGGTAAAAAGATAAAACTGGTAATCAAAGTAATTCTTTAGCAGTTTATTTGTGGGCAGAGTTATAATTGTTTGATTTATTTAATTCACCATTTCTTTGTTCAAAATAAAACTATTTAGTTATACTTCGAATTAACATTGATTATATATATGATTAAACTAACAGTAATTAAAGTAAAAGCAAAGTAAGTTTGTCAAGTTAGCAACGACTACATTTAAATTACCGTTTTTTTATTTAATTACATCCTGATTCTGATTTTGTACGAATGCTTTTCTGAATCACCCGTCCTCAAGGGTTTAAACATAGATAAGTGTGAAAATTTCTTATGCTCTTTTGTTGGAACGTATAAAATTATAAAAATAATGGAAAAGTTTCCTGCACGAGAGGAGTCTAGTCGAGCACCCTCGCCGATTCAAATAATGAAATCATTATCCCGGATGCTTTTCTTTTACATTATCATTTTTTTTACATTTCTGAAAGTTTAAAAATAAGATTTCACCATTTACAGCGATGCCAGCAGCTTCGCTTTCAGCAAAAAATTTATAAAGTGGTAGAGACTTAAGAATTTTGATTTATTGTATTAACAAATGGCATTTTTAACAAACATTCAAATTATTTAAAGTTTCGCTGATCAATCTAATTTTAAATTAGTATTATTAAACCGCGATTTATTGATTAAATCATAAATTTAATAACCAAAAATAAAATTTGTCCTCAAAGTGGAGCTAGTTGGTATTCCTACATTAAAACACAATTTTTGCTACCACGAGGAAAAAAAAGGTCTTCATCGCCTGTTAAAGGCGACAGCTGTGAAAATAATGATTAAAATTCGATTATTAACTCATTAATATTCAGCATCAAAAACACGAAATAATTGTGGAAGTACAATATGCAATTACTAAAAGCGAACAACTTAACCCTTCATTTTCAAACTGTACTTCAACGTACAAATTTCATATTTCCAAAAGAAAGAAAATATAGTTGGTTGGTTGAAATATTGTATCATTTGGACTTGTTCAAAGCTAAAGTGGTAGATAACAGAAAGAAATATCCAATTGGTATGCATAAATATGAGCTAACACTTTTTCCACGTAAATGTGTTTTATTTACGTAATGTGTTTGCATACCCTCCAACAACTAAGGAATTTTCATAATTTAAGATAATGTTTTTAGGGGTAATAATCTTAATGTACTATAAAACCCATTCAGGCCAATATTTTCAAAAACTTGTTTTAAAAAGATAAAGACAGGTAATCAATAAGTTATTGTGTTATGAAATTTTTCTTGAAAAACAATCGTATTCACCAAAATATATGTAGTGTTGTAAATAAATATGTTTTAACCCCTTGGGGACGGATGATTCAGAAAAGCATTCGTACAAAATCAGAATCAGGATGTAATTAAATAAAATACGGTAACTTAAATGCAGTCGTTGCTAATTTTACAGACTTACTTTGCTTTTACTTTAAATATTGTTAGTTTAATCATATATATAATCAATGTTAATTCAAAGTATAACTAAATAGTTTTATTTTGAACAAAGTAATGGTGAATTAAATAAATCAAANTATAAATTTAATTTTTAAATGATTTTGATCGCCAATATTCTTACAAAAATTAAGCTTATATATTAATATGCGTTACTATCATGGTTGTCTACTTAATTTTTTTCAAATACAACGTATTTGTTTGGTTAAAATTGAATTTTTAATTCCATTTTAATACCACTGGGAAAAATGATAATGGAAGGGATTAAAAGTTGGCAGGTCTGTATATAGGGAGGGAAAAGTACTTACTGCTGTTCGTTATAAAGTTCTGCAGAGGAGATATCTGTATCCTCAACTGGCCGAAGAGAATAGCTTCCGTGTCTGGAAAATGAAGAAGATCAAATACCAATTGATGAGAATGTGTATGCGAATTGTAGTGAAATTGATCTTTATATGGCTTCTCATCGAAAGGCAATCCTAAGAAGAAATTAAAAAAGGTTATGTGCATAAAATAAGCACAAGAAAAATTAAAAAGTTTAATCCTTTGTCCTGCTTATGTCTATAGTTAACCCTGGGTATGCCTATTAATAATGTTTTTGGGAAGAAATTATTGCAAATGTTATTATATGTATAAAAAAAAAGTAATGAACAATCTCAGTATGTATTGAACATAGATAAGGTGTACGTTTGATTAAGAACTATAACTAATACTAGTAGAATGTGAAGGGTGAAAATTTTTTATGCTCTTTGGTAGGAAAGTTTTACCAGTATTTCGAAATTCGCACTTAAATATAAAATACTATGGAAAAGTTTCTTGTACGAGAGGAGTCTAGTCGAGCACTCTCTTGCCGATTCACCTGGCGAATTCAGCCACATCCCCGGATGCTTTTTTTTTTAACCCTTTGCACTCCGAGTACTTTAATATACTGTTTGAACTAAGGTGTACGTGATTATCTAAGCACCATATAAGCATGTACACCTTAGTTCAATTAGTTATTATTACTGCTTATATAAGCACTAAATCATTTCAAAAAACATAATAAAATCATAAAATTTCTGCATCAACCCTTTGATAAGATCTGTTCGTTCGCTAATTTTGCTAATAAATGCATGACTTCCTACTTTTAATGCATTTTGAAAAAAATTATTCTAGTAGTAGCTAAGTTAATGTCTTAATGTACTATATTTTGTTCATTTAAGTCTTAATGTACTATATTTTATTCATTTACTATATTTTATTCATTCACCATTACCCACTACATATAAATGATTGAAAAGTTCAGGTGCAACGTCACATTGTTCCAGCACTGTCGTGGTGAGGCTTTTAAAATGTTGTCTAAATTACCGAAAAATCGGAAAACTTTGGTTTTAAAATGCTTACTACTCTATAAAATGTTTCACAAAAAGCGTAGCAGTAGACAAGCCTGTAAATGCCTTAATAGTTTTGTTTTTAGAAAATTTTTCCAAACTTAATTTTTACTATTACTTTGTAAAATATTTTTCAACGACGGTAAGCAGGTAAGCATGTCTCAGGTAAGCATGTCTCTTTTTCAAAAAGTTCAAGACTGGTAACTGTAATCTTTCATTCTTAACAATTAGAATTAGAAAAACTGATTACTCCTATCTACCAAAATCTACTAATTATAATTAATCTAAAGATTCCCATCCTAGTAAACATAAAAATTCCTTCCTATTCTTATTCCTAATATTTCTATCAACCAGATATCTATTAATTAATCAAATCGGTTAATGCCGCTTCACGGCATGCGCACCGCGGCAGCGCATTTCAATTTAAAAAAAATGACAAGATTGTTCAGCCTTGTAGATATAAGAAAATTATTATTATAAAAAATAACACGAACTGTAAAAATCGATATATCAGCCAAATTCGCAAATATTCGCAGCTAATTTTTTTTCAGTTCTTGAGTATATATACCAAACAAATACACAATTTTTTTTTTACCTCGGCAATGTAAGGCTTTTTTTATAGAGCACCCTAAAGTTACAATTTCATTGTACAGGCAGAAATAGGGAAATGGCTCTGGTTTTAATAGTATTTATATAAAATAATGAATTCATATATATCTTAGAAATACATTTATGTAAAAATCATGCATAGTTTTATTATTTTTATTTACTATCAGGATTTATCATATTAATAAAAATTTAACTGAAAAATTAAATTTTTTTTATTTCGACTTTGTTTTCATTTAATTGCTATTTCCATTAATAAATCAGAAAAACAAAATACACAGTCATGTTCCTTGGACATTTTACTACGAAAAACCATATTGCATACCTGCCTACTCTTCCGGAAGATTTTATTTTTATATTTAAAGTGGTTGTAAATATATACTGTTTTTTTATTTTATAAACTTAATTTTTAAATGATTTTGATCACCACTATTCTTACAAAAATGAAGCACATATATTAATATGCGTTACTATCATGGTTGTCAACTTAAGTTTTTTCAAATGCAACGTATTTGTTTGCTTAAAATTGAAGTTTTAATACCACTGGGAAAAATGATAATGGAAGGGATTAAAAGATATGAGATAAAGAAATGATAATGGAAGGGATTAAAGAAGGGATTAAAAGATATGAAGGGATTAAATGATATTGAGATTTTTTTTTCTTATAACTTCATCTTTTTCATTTTTGAACGCGAAAAATGATTTTTGTTCCACAGTGCCACAGGGGAAAATATTTTGTACAAATCTCAAATTGCCATGGCCTACAGTTTGCTCTTATACTTAATGAGGATAGCTTTCGTTTTTATATACGTAAATATAAGTAAATTGTGGCGGTAGTTATATTGAATAATTAAATAAATGCAATTAATAAAACTGAAATGTTTAGTCACCTGTGGCATCCCTGTTAATGTGAGATCTAAATATTTTAAAATTACATGATATAATACTAACCTAACTAATTAACGTGCATACTAACAGCCTTAAGATAATGCATTACTAAACATTAAGATACAAAAATTTCATATTTCAGAGTGGAGACTTTTGGTGCCTCATCAGAGTGGACAACGGATTGCAAAGGTCAAACATTTCTCAGCAGCCTTGAAAAAATTAATTATCACTTTTTTCCAAATTGTAACAACCACAAAACTTTTCCTAAAGAGTATTAGTCCAGTTTTTAGACCATTGTCGTTAAAATATTTAATGAAAAAAAAAGATTTCACCACATAAAAATTACTCTTAAATATTTTAAATAAAAATAATTTTTATTATAATTTTCCTATTCTATATTCTTGCAAATAGAATCCTTTAAATGAGAAATTTCAGTAAAAACTGCCCAGCGAGGATGATTTTTAAATAGCATTTTTCAGATGTTGCAGTTGTTCAATTTTTGAGGGGATGAAATTAGAATATTCAGTCATAATAGTTCTCTAAATTTTCCCCAAAAATAAATAATTCTTTTATCCACCAAAAGAGGAATTATTTTTAATCTTTTAATTGTTTTTTACTTGGATGAATCGATGATGATTTATGAAAATTTTCTTTAAATTTCTGAATTATTGAGGGAGACATGCACGCACCGTCATCCCGATAACGATGCCGCATACAAAAATCTATTACAAAATATCGGGTTGCGATCTGATTATTAAAACTGCCGCGGACTTCCGTTGCTGGTCTTTTGGATGCAAAACTGTCTAATGTTTTTGCGCAATATTGTTTATTTTTTTTTATTGAAAGATTCAGATTTATGCTTTAAATTGCTTAGAATTTTAAATTTTATTTAAAATTTACCACTACATAAGTAAAATAAACATATCTATAAGGACAAGATAATCGGAAATTATATGCCACTAGCAACGGAAATTTGCAAATTGGATAAGGTTGCCAAAGGCGACTAAAATTGCAAAAAGTGGTAACTAGTAAAGTTCAATTTTTGGGTAAACAAATATCTGACAAATCTTCCAGATTTTCCCGAAGATTTTATTTTCATATTTAAAGTGGTAGAATACTCAGGTTATTCAAATTAACTTTTTGAATTATAAATGAATTTGACCACCATTACACATAAATAATTACAATAAATATATGAAAGCATAATAATCCTTGCGCAAGCGAATTTGATCAAAATATAAATATATTTTTGAGTCAGATTGTTTATTGTTTTACAACCACTCTAAAAATCCATTCTCGGAAAGAGGGAAAGTTGGCAGGTATGTAAAAGATATAAAACTTAGCAGCTTTATCTAGCGTATTTTTTGTCAATTTACCACTAGTCCTAGTCCTAGTGTTTTGATTTTATTGGGCACCTGGGTCGCGAAGCGGCCCTTATCCCGTTCATCAATTTACCACTACTCATACTCATATGTGTTGGTTATCTTAGCATCAGCCCCGCTAGGAGCTCCAACTAATTCATCTGAGTGGAAATAAATAATGAATCGCCGAAGCGCAACTGAAAGGTGAAAGTTGGGGTTCAGTATCTTTTACTGAGAGAAAATTAAAATGAAGTAGTGAGATTGAACAAACAAGTTTGAGAGAGAGAGAAGAGGTTTTGTGGCAGACTGCCTCGCCTCCCTTCGAGGTATTACCCCGAGCTTCACAGGTGCACAGTAGCCACATAGCCCCAGGGAAAAGGGGAAATACATAATAAATGCGCAAAATTATTTACAAGTATTTACAGCTATTTACAAAATTTACGGGACAAAACTCCGTCGGATAGGAAAAAGGCGGTTGCCGGGCTATATTTTATGTTGTCTTTGATGAGCTCAAAATCAAAATTTTTAAAGTAATTGCACGTATGACAAGAGAGTGCATCTCTGAAGAAACTTGCACATAGTTCAGCTATGTGCTCATCTATTTTGTTGATTTTTAACTCTCGTCTTAGATCTTTCATTCTCATGGATCTGGGGGCTCCTGTGATATATCTGAGGAATTTATTTTGAGTGATCTCCAGTTTCTTTTTTTGACTAACAGTGGTTGTGCTCCATGCAGGGGCTGCGTAGCTGATGATCGGTCGAATACATTGGAGGTATAGGGTTCGTTTTGTTTTNTTTCTATATATCAAAATTCTTGGTCGGCAAATATTCTTATATATTGCAGTGATTCAAATTAATATCATTCAATAGTTCTGAAAAATATTGTAAGTAGTGCATACAGTTAACTTCCTTACTCTCGATCTAATTTATAAATAATCATTTTATATGTTTATTATGTTTTCATGCCTTAACTCAATTTAGTTTTGCATTTTCAAATGTAATTAGTTTTAATTTCTCATCGTAGATTTGCGTCCATTTTCTCTCCCCCATTTTCCGCTCACTTAGTTTCCAATTATTTTAGATGAAGAAGCAGATTACCATTACATACCTGCCAACTTTTACGCATTTGGCGTAAAATTTCATTTTCATATTTAAAGTGGTAATACATATATGCTATTTTTTCTTTTATAAACTTAATTTTTAAATGATTTTGATCACCATTATTCTTAAAAAAACTAAGCACATATATTAATGTGTGTTTCAAGCATGGCTGACAGCATAAGTTTATTCAAATACAACGTATTTTTTTACTTAAAATTGAAATTTTAATTCCATTTTAATACCACTGGGAAAAATGATAATGGAAAGGATTAAAAGTTGGCAGGTATGCCATTAGAGTTAAATAATTCGAAAAATTAATTCGCATAAATGTAAACGTGGCGGTATTTTGAGACTCTCTTAAAAAATTTTATTTTATTTTATTTTTAGTAAGGAAAGATAGATAGCTTGTAGGTATGTGAAAAAGTTAATTTTCGTTTAAATACACAACTACAAACTTCACGCTGTCCGGGAACGGATTTTCCAAGTTAGCAAAACAATCACTGAAAAATAATCTTACTCAAAAAATATTTTTATTTTGACCACGTTGAATTTCGCTCTCGTAAATAATATTATGCTTTTATATATTTGTTGTACTCATTTATATGCAATTGTGGCTAAACAAATTTCTAATTAAAAAAGTTTAATAAAATAACATGATTTTCGCTACCACTTTAAATATGAAATTGAAATCTTCCCCGAAAATCGAAAGAGTTGGCAGCTATGCAGATATGTTCTTTTGACAATTAAGAAAGTACCGGCATATCTAAATTTAGGATCCATTTTTATTTTACAAAATTAGTTTCAAATTTTTAACGACTGTGCTTGTGGTTTGTGGTTTATACAAATCCCCTTTTATATTTTCCTGAATTATTATATAACTCGAAAAGTTTTCCAGGCCTTAAGATCTCTTATGGTACAGTTACAAAATATTTATGATGAAGAAAAATCTATAATTTACGTTTGATATTCTTCACCAATATGATTCTTTTTGAAATAGAGGAGATAGTTAAAACGAGGAACCATATTCACTGTTCTTTCCTGATTATCTCGTGTAATCTTGGATTCGTATGAATTGAAATTATTGCACCAGTTTCCTAGCATGGAGATTTTGGAGCTCCAAACTGTTTTGATGATGCCGTCCGAAAACAAACTGAAAAGTTTAATCGGTTTTCATTTTAAGAGAAGAGTGGAGAGATTCTTTTTTTCTCTTTTTGTTATAAATAAACGATTTTATGTTGTTGTTACTAATGCTACTTGCTAATACTAGCAAGCCTGCTAGGGGAAACCAAGCGAATTTTTGGAGAAGGGTTCTGGCAAAGGATGGCTTTATCTATGGCCAAGAATATGATTTCAGCCACACACACGTAACAGCCCATTTTACAAGGAGGACCCATTCATACTTCATTCATTCATCCACAGATCGTAATTTTGACCTGAACCTGAGAACGATCGGTTACCAAATCAGTATTCCCAGAGGTATTGATTTGTTATGTGAACTTTGAGTTTTTTGTGACCCCGACAGATTTAACATGCTTCAGTCACCATTTCATATACGGGGATAGTTCGGTCAGCGGGATTCAAACTCGTGATCTAACGAACACGAGCTCGACGTCCTACAAACCAGGCTATCCCGGTCTTACAATTTTATGTAGAATTATGTAGTATTTTCCAACTCTGAATGGACAAAATTTTTTGCTATTTCGCCATCAAAATAAAATTTAATATAAAATATGCATTTAAAAATAGATGGATACGTGTAAAAAAGAATTATTCACTTGGTATACACAAATATGTACTGCTTCTTCAATTGGGTTGTGAAATTATAACTTACACATTTTACGGAGAAACTTTTGAACTATGGAAAAAAATGAGAAAGTATGGTCAAAACTTTCATTAAACAAACAACCGCACCTAAAAATTTAAATACACACCAATTTGACATCTCTTGATCAGTACACCAACCCATGAACAATAACTTTTACTGCACGAAAAAATTTAACCCAATACTTTTTTCTTATAGCTTTATTATTTTCTCACATCGATTATTTTTTGTGGCTAAACATAAATAGCTAAAAAAGTATGTTTAGTTGGAAGTATGTACGATTGCTAGAAAGAAATTTACAAAGCTGTTGTAAAATAACTATTGAAATATAAAAAATCTAATAAAATTAAGTTAGTTTGTCAAGACTTAAAGTTATACCTTTTTCAACTATTAGATTTCATTATATATTTAAATTGTTTACTTGTCATGGTGCTAAAACAAATGCATGGTGCTTACTTGAAACTTAAAGAAATCTGATTTTATACATTAAACATAAATATTTCCATTACTAAGAACTATTTTCCTCATGGGCCCTACAAGTTGATATCCAATAAGAATATGATTTTGAATCGCAACACCTATGTTATAAAAATACACAATTATTTCGGTTTTGTTACAAAGAAAACACTATTTTTATTTTAGAACAATAACTAAGTAGTAGAATTATTTGAAACTGAATTAAAAATGGTGAATGAGACATCGATAAACAGTCAAACTTTTCAATAAATAATTGTTTATAAAAAGCATTTATAGCTATAGTTAACTGAATAATTTCGAGTAATGTTAGTAAAATACACTTACGAGAACTCCAGAAACTCCTTGCTGTATCAAATTTCAGCTGTAGCCCTTTATTCGTCAAACGATTGTACACATCTAGCATGTACTGTGGTACATGCGAATGCGCAATGCTCCTCTTCACAATTTTTTTCTCTCTTTTCTCAATGAATGTTTTCTTGAGAGCAGAAACATCTCCTACAATGAAACTATCCAAAAACAAAAGAGGATCACTTATTCCATGATATTCTGTTGTAGAATTGTTAGAGTCTTGGTAATCGGTGATATTAGTCTGGATGACATATCCATCTATCAGGCAAATAAAGAGGGTGCTTATCACAAAAAAAGTCGACCTGACATGGTTAAGGGCCATGTTACAGACCTCTTGTATTAATAACAAAAGCGATTTGCAGCAGTATCTGTTATGAAGTTAAGCCGGTTTCATTAGTTTCAAGTTCTGAGTACTTTCAATTTCTAACCGACAAAGCAATGAAATATTTTTTAAAGAAAACCGATACAACAGATTAAATGTAAACAGATAAACTAATTTTAATTTTAAAGCAAATTTCTTTGGTTTATTGGCAAAATTCTTTGGTTGTAACTTTGACACCACACTGATCCTTTTAACGGTTGTCACTTTTTAGTCCAGCACGCTTTTATTAAACATTTCCTCTAAAATCAGAAATAATCCAGAGAGTTTCAGTTGATTTCATATCGAAGTAGTCTTATATGTGTTTTAATTACTTGATTTCTATATATTAAAATTCTTCGTCGGCAAATCTTCTTTTAGCTTTTGAAATGGAATCTACGCATGTTAAGTTTTTCACGTTGAATCAGTGATCTATAAATTTTACTTTACATTAGTAATCCATAAGCAAAGATTTTTATCGCCAAATGTTTAACGGTATAGTCGATTTCTTGACACTCAAAGGAAGCGTTGTACGGCCACCTTGAAGGTGAGACGTAGCATCAAAGAATGCCAAGACTTCAGTCAAATATAGAGACACTTAAGTGAGGTCCCGTTTTGCACAGTGGTGTTTTATATATAGAGGGTCTTCTGCATAACGCTCGTGTCTTTTACATTTTTTCCCTTCCAAGTCCTTATCGCGAGACGTTTTTGCGTAAGTGTTGTTTAAGTTAATAGACGGCCGAAGACAGGACAGATGCTACACGAAGAACAAAGAGGTTGAAGAGATAAATAGGCGCTCACTTCTTTGTTTTTGTTTGCTGAAATGTTTTAGTATCGTTTTTTTTTTGTTTTGTTGCGTCATTTTGAAAGGATAGCTAGGTAGGTAATGAACGGGTAAAAATCACTTTAAATACATTATGTATGACAATGTGGTGGCCCATAAACTGCTCAAAAGCCATATGTGGTTCTTGTGAAATTCTAAAGACGGTTTTTTTATTTTATTTAAACATCGGAAATGAATAACTGAAAATACATTTCATTAAAATCATGAGTTAGCTGAACTCTTCTTGAACGATTAAATTCACCTTAATTATATTGTGTATGACATTGGTGACTAAACTGGTCAGAAGCCGTGTGCGGCTATCTCTTAATTATAGATAAAATTTTATTTAATTATTGTTTTACTTTATAACCTACAATGAACAGCCGAGCCAATTCTCAGTTTACGACTATCAATGATCAATACTGAAGCAATTTTGGACCCAGCTCAGAAGACAAAGGAATTCCTGAATAAAGCATTGTTAGAAACTAGCCTTCGATGGAACTAACCCTCATTTTTGTTTCATAGAGAAAAAAACCACGAAAACCACCCTCGGTTCACACAGCGGCAAGAGAATTCTAACCAATGATCCGTCTACCACTGAGGATATTTTACGTATACACAATGGTTTAAGCTGGGAGAAGAGTTTGTATCAACCAGCCACCACTGGGATTTGAACTTGGGTCACTTGAGGTGAACGCCCTATCTCCCCTGAGTCATCCCGACTCTTATTTAAATTTAATTTAAATACTTATTAAGCTCCTATTTAAATAAGGAAGAGCATATATGTAATCACCTTTTCTTTTTTTTTTAAATTCTCATTAATTGATTTTATCAATTGATTTTTTGATTGTATTAACTTGAAATTTAAGTATCAAATATTTTATAACTTTATGCTCATTTATTATTACGAAAGGATTTTTGTTGCTCCTCTGTTTATTTATACTGTAACGAGTGCAGCAGAGATGCCAACTGCTCCGGACACGCCAAAATAATTAAATAAACGGTAAATAACTACGAAGTAAATTTTGCAAATATTTGACTATTGTTGCTTGTTTTTTAAATGGTATAGCATGACACATGTCAATAAAGTGGTGAATTATATAAGCCTGAAAAGTCTCACATTTTCTGCAAATCTTTCANATATATACTTTCAGTGTATGGGTTAAATTTTCAAACCATGGGCAACTAAAAATGTAAGAATGTTAGAAACTCAATTTCTTTTTATTTATTTAATTAATAATCACATTATTTTAAGAAAGTGTACACTAGGAGAGTGTTACCAAAAAGTGTTCTGCAAAATCTTAGGGTTTCGTGGAAAGTTCACAAGGCTTCTTAGTGTTCGTCATTTTTATTTTTATATTTAATCAATAAACCTGAAATATAATTAGTTAATATCTAATCAATAAAATTCATATATAATCAATAAAACTTAAAAACTATTCAATAATTAATATTTCGATTATTAAGAAATTACAAAAGTAAAATACTGGTAGTGGTGGATAAAAATCTACTAAATCGAATTTATTAAACCAAGAATCACAATTGATAAACTACCACTTTAAAATATATATTTGCTGTCCGGAGCAAGTTGGCATCTCTGTAGTAGGCAATGTGCAGATTACATTGGGTAACAATTTTTTTGCTGAATTTGAACAAGTACTTGATCTTACCTAATACGTCTGAGGGGATTTCTTACTCAAATTAGTTTTGCTTCAATAGCTACAGGTTTTTATCGAAACGGTATTTTCGGTTCAGTTTTTTTTCCTGTCTGGATGCACAGGTTTATAAAAAGTATTGTTTTGTAAGCATTCATATTTTATTTTATTTTATACAGCCGACCCAAATCAGAGTTTACAACTATCAATTTTCATCTCCGTAGTCTTGCAATTTTGAACCCAACCCAGAAGACAAGGGAGCTCCTGGATAAAGCATCGAAGCAGACTAGCCTTAGTGGAGGACTTTTTGATACTATTAAAGCCCCATTTGCGTTTCATAGAGAGGAAAACCACGAAAACCTTCCACGCTTTACCAGACGGTAAGATGATTCTAGCTCATGATCCGTCTACCGTTTAGGATATTTTACGTCAAGTGGTCAGTGAGTGCTGGAAGGAGTAGAATTCGTGTCAACCAGTCATCTTTAAGATTCGAATCTGGTTCTCCTCATTGGTAGGCGAGAGCTCTATAGTCTGAGCCAACACGGCTCGAATGTGCAGTTTAATAATAGTTTAGGTTTGTATACATTTCTAAAGATTTGTCTGCTATTTTGAAAATGCATGTGGCCTTAACATATCGCCTTCTTGGTACCACTCTCTACGTAGTTGAGAAGTGGTGACACTTAAGATTCACTCTAGTGAGTTAAAAAAAAAAAAAAACCCTGGCTGGGAATATTTTATTTAATTTCATTAAAACTGTTGCTTGTAGAGAGAATCTGATTGAAATCAGTGACGCAAAAATATTTAATATCTATACATTAGATTGATGAGGGGTAACATTCTTAAGTTTTAATAAAAGTTTTACGAAAATTCCATTAAAAAAAAAAATTCTGCTTTATTTGATTACAACGATAAGGAATGTGCAACTTCCTCAAATGCTTGAAAGTTTGTCGATATGATTTAAAATCAATTTTATTAAACCACATATAAAAAGCAAAAATTTCTTTAACAAATTTATAAATCTAAAATCTTTTACAAAAACAGTAATAATTGGCTTATACTTATAACTTTTCAGCATTATCAAATGAACACGTAGAAATTAACGCCAACATAAATGTCTCTAAGATTTATTTGGTTTTATCCCTGCTGTTGAATATGTTGTTCTCAGATATCTTTATTTTTAAAAACTAATAAAATTCTGCATTATACCACGTGCCTGAGTAGAACTCTTTCATATCAGCTTTAAAATTATTAGTGAGGGGGCGAACAAAGTGCCAACTATCTTTGGTATCTTTTGACCGGTAAATGGTTCCGTGTTAAAGTAATTAAGATAATGCATAGACGCCGGTGGTCTCTCAGATAAAATATTAAAATTGTTGCAAAACGTTTTGAGTAGATTTGTTTTTGTTTATAGATGAACCCACTTAAAGCAAGAAAAAGAGTTTATTTGACGATAATAAATTTGGGTTCTTGTTGCTATTTCAGTAAATCCATATTTGTTTATATATCTTACTCTTTTAAGCAGCAATTATAATTCTTTAAATAATTTTTCTCAAATATATGAAGTGAGAGGGAAATTGTTTTTTTTTATTTTTTTTATATAGCAGTTCTGATTTACAAATAATTTGAACACAATCATAGATAAGCAAGTAGTTAAGAAATGATCATCGCTCTCTGAAACTTATATATGACGGAAAAATCTAGGAAAATTTTTAATTTTTATACAACAATTTTTATACACCATAGCATACCTGCCAACTTTTAATCTCTTCCATTATCATTTTCCCAGTGGTATTA